CTCATTCTGTTGTAGAACTCATACTCAAATTCCCAGATCATATGTTTCACAACATATTTTAACAAATTTATATTTTAATTATGGCACATTCATTTTATCTCTTTATTTCACCATATCTCAGAGTAGGGGAAAGATAGAGGGAACTACTCAGACTTCATGAGAAAGATATGACAAAACTCAAATTTCATATATAAAAGAAAGTTCATCGAACACTAAATAAACAAACAAACTTATCTGGAACTCTTTCTCAAAACAAATCCTTTGTAGCATTTCCTTAGAAATGCAGAAAGAACTCTCTCACTTTTCTCCTTCTCCAACACTCTTACATAAAGTTTCACACTAAATCTCACCACTAAAACTGTAAACTATAAAAGAAAAATTACTAATTGACTCCGATATGGTGGTGGAATGAAGATGGATTATGAAAATGTAGCATGGTGGAACATTGTGGAGCAAAAAATGAGCGTAGAGGAGCCCCTTTTTTGATGAAATTCAGCCCCAAATAAAGCCCAAGGTCGGTTCTCCAAGAGTTGCCTCCAAAAACACTTCAAAAATCATCCAAATACATCAAACCTTCTAGAAACAGGGTCTGAACTGCCTTTGGTGCCGTCGGCGCTAGTCTAGCGCTGTCGGCACTAAGTAAAATTCTCCAGCTTTTGGTTGTTCTGCGTCGTCATCACTGACCTTGGCGCTGCCGGCACTGAGTATTTCCTCAAAAACGTCATTTTGACTCTAAATTTCATCTTTTTTGCTTCATTTTTTGCTTTAAGCCCTAAAAATCAACTACATGCAAGAAAACATCAAAATACCTTCCATTAAAGTGTAATATCACAAAAAATAAGTATAAAATATGGGTATAAAAATACATATATTTTTAGTGTATCATTCGTTCGACAGTATTATGGAGAGTTTCCTTTTTTAGAAATATAAAGGTGAAGCTCGCCAAAGTAAAAGACGGATATGATGCATATCCATTTGTTAAACCTTAGGTTATTAAGGGAGAACATTAGCAAGAGTGTGGATCATCATTACTCACATCATGTTGGGTTTCTGTTACATCCTGCACTTTGCATGTTACATTACACAATGGCTCGATCGACAGCCCCGGTACGGTCAGCCTCACACTTTGGCTCGACTAACCGCCCTAGCCTGGTCGACCGATCACTTTGGCTCAACCAGCCACATTGGCCCGGTCGACTAATCAATTAGGCCAGACAGGCCACCCCGACCCAGCCGACATATCACTTTGGATCAAACGGCTAGTCCGACCCAACTGATTGATCACTTTGATCCCACCAACCAACCCATCCCAGTTGACCAATCCTTTTGGTCCAATCGGCTTCCTTAGCCCAACTGAACTCATTGGTTATGCTACCTCAGGTTGACCACCCAGTCAACCTAGTAGGTCGAATAACAAATTTCACTTTCATAGTGTTTGTTTTGCATGATTTACATTATCATTCACTGCTTGCACCCTTAGCATGCATCTATGAGCATATACTCTCATATGCTCTCAATGAGTACTTGTGCCTCCCAACGGGACATTACTACACATTTGCTCTGTGGCATTCCCATGTCACTTAACACCAATCATAAGTGATTTGCACTTGCACTTCCCACCTTTGCATGTTTTCTTGCATAACAACTTGCATGTTTCATGACTTGTACATTTGCATTTCTTGCACTTGGATTTGTGTTTCTCATACAATTATCCCTCACATTCACATATCATTTGATTGGTGTGTAATTCTCCCTAGTGAGAATTACTTCACCTTCTCTTCTTACGACACTACATCGGATTGTCGTAGGCTCTCCTCCGGGTCTTTGCCTCCACATCACACTCATCATTTATGTTGTTGCCTCCACAGCATGCCCACCTTTAGGGTCACTGCCTCCATGACACACCCATCCTTTGGTGGTCGGGCCCAGCATAAGTATACGCTTGCATGATTCGATTTCACTTGGACTCAAACCAGATCAATGTTTGATGTCATCTGATTTGTCTTACTGAGACACATCATTTGAATTAGAGTATAAGAAATTAGATTTTTGAGCTCTCAATCCCAAATATGTGTTGAGATTCATGCTTGATTTAGATAATTTTTAAGAACGTATCCTTTATTTTTTTCATTTTTAACTTCACCTTAAAAAATTGATTCTTTTGAGACTAGCACTGGGATACATAAATTCACCAATAATCACCACAAGAACAAACCCCATGCTTAAAATGATGAAAATGGCTAGTATCCCTGACAACAATCTCTCTCCCCACAATCTTGGACATCACCTTGATCGCCTCATGATAATCAACACATGCCTGCAAATTCTTCATAACCCTGACCGTGGATCCCACCAACGTGCTGATCAACGTGTACCTTATCGTCAAACTCTCACTGTGCCGCTTCAAAGCCTCTGCTCTCCTTCCTTCCTCGCCTGGTGCCCGTTACTCATGTGGGACCGTGAGAGTTTCACTATCCGCACTATGGCTTAGCGAGAGCTTTGAAAGCATTGGAGCATTCCCATGCTAAATAATTATCATTTGATAGGCCTGTGCTAGTCGTCACTACTAATGTAAGAAAAACTCTTTTGGATCAGGAGCATTCTTGGGCAACCCCGAAAATGTAATTAACCAACAGAGATACATTCACTTGAGAGTACTCTAGACCCTATAACAGGCAAACACGCCAGAATCTCTGGTTGTGGGTAGTCTACGTAGGTATGTTTCGTGGATATTGGTCCAAGGTGCTTCCACCAGAATTTGTTCAAGCAGACATGCTTGACCTATCATCGTGACATTTATCGCATGTAGGCTCTCTACGTTCTTTCTCTTGTTTGTCGTCTTTGTCACGTCCTTCTTTTTCGATTCCTTTCTTCTCCTAATCATTCACATGATCTGGAAGAGAGATTTATTAGAAAAAAAAAAGTATATGATGATGGACAAACCAACGACTTCTTTAAAAATAAAAAGAGAAAGGAATGAAAATTGATTACACACATTAATTATGATAATTTTTTTATGCATTTTGCTAAAAAAATATAATAATTTGAATAAAAGCTTATTTATGATCATCACACTTATTTAGATGCAATATTTAATCTTCAAGATGGCATGAGGATTCATGTACTCAAGTTCAAATCTTTTTTTATTACAGTACCTTCAATTGTTTAAAATGTATGTTGTTTTTATTATAAACATCAATACTTTTCTTACTCCCAATTCAAGCAATGCATAAAATAAGTAACATAAGAGCTCAAACATCTCATTAATTAAAAACATAGCAATACATTACTATTAAATCCTCGATTACATGGTCATATCTTACAATACACTAATGGAAGACAAAATCAGTGAAACATGAGGATAAGAAATAAACTAATAATGAAAACAAAGTTCACATGTAATTTATATTTTAGTCAAACATTTTAATTGCTGAAAATTTCTCTTTAATAAATATTTATTAAAATTTCTCTTAATTTCTCTTTCAAAAAATTCATTGTCTATTTCTTCCATTCATCTGATAATTACAATAAAACTATGTTTAGTTGATGGCACATCAACAGAATTTCTCCCATGATTCTTACCTCTATGAGTTATAAAAACCATACATTATAAGTTGTTGTCATAATAAATTCTATGATTTATGATGCCCCTCAAAGGTGATTATTGAATTAAACTCATCTTTTACCATATGAATTGGGTGAACATCAAATTTTTACCATATGATTTCGGTGAACATCAATGAAAATGTGCATAAGCTTGAGAAAAATGTAGATTTTAAGTATCCAAAGATCACATTGCCATAAAAATGTAATAATACTTTAAAAACATTAGACTAGCAAAACTTAGAGCTAAAAAATGAGTCCATAAGTGAAATGATATGATAATAAATGCCCCAATAAACAAATCACTTTTATAATTCATCAACAAATTCAAATAACCATGTGTGAAAAATTTAACCTACTTAACCTTGACCAACTGACACAATTGTGAACCATTAACAAGATATGCTCAACAATGACACTAGACACACAATATATATGCATCTATGCAACATCTACAATCAACTGATGCTTATATGCAAATAAAATATATGTGCATTATAAAAGCACTTGCATGCACACACATGTGCACGCACGCACGCGCGCATACACACACACATGTATATATAAGTTGTTACATGCACATACACAAAGAGCTTAGAAGAACCGAAAACATTTGGAAATAAATCTGAAGAAGATGAAAACTCAAAAAAAAAAAAAAAACTAGAAAATGAAATGCAAGAAGCTTAAAATCAGATAGAAATAAAAGCTGCATTCAAGAAACCTGAAGAGTTGGACATTATAATAAAGAATATACTTGAATTTCACTTTCAAAAAAGTCTAATACTACTAAACAAATGATATCCTTTTTATATTAAACATAATTGGAGTTTCCACCGAACAACACAACTATAATTATAATGGATGTTCATTTGAGATATCTCTTATAGTAGCAAATGATTTGCTCTGTGGTGGTAATAGGATCTCAAGTTTAACTTGAGGGGTCTGCGATGAGGGATACGATTGGCTTTAGGCGGAGCAAGGGCCGAGATTAGATATTCTGTTGTGGGAAGAGAAACCGAGCCTACGGGCAAATGAGGAATATTACACTTCAAACTATCTTCAACCAGAGAGAGAATGTTGAGGTGTTTGGTGCATGGAGAAGTGTGAGATTAGGTCTTGTGAATGGGAGAAGGGGAGAAGTAATCTTATTGAATCAACTTCAATGAGAGGGAGAAAATTACACAGTGTGGGTGGAGGGTGAGATTAGTTCTTGTGAACTGGAGAATTAAGAGAATTTGTAGTTGATTTAGACCCACAAGTTAGTGGTGAAACATGTAAATTTTAAGTTTTAGAGGTGAAGTAAATAGAAATGTCTAAAGGGTCACTAGTGCAAAAGTATCACCTTGGTGAATAGAAAAGCCTCAAGAGTATTCTAAATAGTAATGCTTGGTGTGCTTTGTTTTTTTTAATGTTATTGTGGTTCTGAAATTTTATGGATCCCAACTGGCTGCTGCCGTTATATCCACATGTCTCCTTCCACTGCAGAGAAGCAAATTAGTGAAGAAGTTGACCATTGATGCACACCAGCAATGGCAGCTCGGCTGCTCCGTTCTCGCCTCCCCATCCTCATCCTCCATCTTGTTCTCTGGGTTTCTATGTTATGCAAAGAAGTTGGTTCCGTGCCCGTTGAGGAAGAAAACCGATACCCCAAACCCCACTCTCCTATTCTTTCTGAAGCCGTCGTCTCTCGCATAGCCTTCGGCTCATGTGCGAACCAGAGCGCCCCGCAGCCCATATGGAACGCGATCATCGATTTCAATCCCCAACTCTTTATCTGGCTCGGTGACAATATTTATGGTGATAACCGCCGTCCTATTAGGGTTTTTGGCCGTGAGGCCACCATCGGCCCCTGGAAGAACACTCCTAGGTTCTTCCCGTCCGAAGAAAGTGAGATGCGTCGGCGCTATCAACTAGCTAAGGCTCAGCCTGGCTATTCCCAGCTGAGGAAACGCGCTCAGGTACCACATTTTAGCTCTGTTTTGGTTTTTGATGATATTTTTGGTTTGTTTGTATTTTTGATTATAATGTATTCAGTGGGAACGAACTGAACTTATTTGCAGGTTATTGGAACATGGGATGACCATGATTATGGATTGAATGATGCAGGGAAAGAATTTTCTGGGAAGAATACTAGCCAAAGGCTTCTCTTAGATTTCCTTGATGAGCCTGAAGATAGTCCACGGTATTTTTAATAGCAAATATATTATTGACAAGGCTTTTATGTTTCGGTTGCTTTTACGCATGATTCCATTTTCGTTTGTATATTGCTAATGATTAGTTTTATTTAAATTCATCCCTAATGCAATGCAAATATTACTTTAGAGAACACGTTATCTCTTTTATTTTTCTGGCCATGAACTGTTAGATGAACTGAAAATTGTGATATGGAGATGTTACCAAGTGGAATCCTTTAACAAAGCAGTCATCTCTCATTATCTTTGAATCTGCATTTAATACTTTACCAATTCAAGCCATTTTGAATATTAATATACTTTACTTTCAATGTTAGCTTATTGATATACTATAATAATGCTCAGTTTGTGTCTTACCCTTACGTAGGCGGAAACAAGCCGGTGTCTATGCTTCATACTTGTTTGGGCCAAAGGGAAAGCGGGTAAAGGTTAGTGGTTTGAAATTCAGGCTACAAGGTGGCTTTTTAATCCCTTGTATACGTAAAATGAATCATACAAGAGGTTCACATTTTTTAATAATATTTTGTCCTTTAAGATATCTTCCTAATAGTATTAGTAACATTTATTTCCTTATTTATTATGACATAGCTGATGAAGTGACTCAAATTTCTTGTTGACTATAACTTTTATCTGAATTACACACTAGCTGTGCCTTGAGCTGAATCTGTCATGGTTTCTGGATGTGCTTCCTCAGGTTATTCTTTTAGATACAAGATATCATAGGGATCCATTGTTCAGTGATGGAACCATGTTGGGAGAATCACAGTGGAAATGGTTAGAGAAAGAGCTTTATGGTCCAGGCTCTGAAATTACTATTATTGCATCTTCTATTCAGGTAACTAGATTTTGCTTATCTAAAAAAAATGTAATTTATTTTTTGAATATTTCTGAAGTCTCAATGTTAAAATACTTTGCAATGGTTATTCTATATAGTGAGATTAATCTTCGAACTGATTGGAATTGCTTCCAAAAGTACCATTTATTGCATAATGACTGCTTAACATGAACTGACATATGATTGTGAATTTTTGACTAAATGACAGAAATGTAGTGATAGTATGTTGGTCTCTGACCGTTAAGCCAATTCTATGTGCAGTGAGTTTCTTCAGAAAAGTGCAACATGTTACCAATTTTAGAAATTTTTGCAGTTCAGGTCACTTAGGAAAATACTAAATGCATGGTCTGCCAATTCCGGGACATTAAAATTCAGCAATTCATAATTAATAAAGGAACAGCATATAGTACGCCAATTAACATTTACTCATGTGGTATTGCCCCATCATACAAAGTGTGAGGTAAGCGGGTGGCTAAAAAAAAAACAGAAAGAAAAAATCCATGTGGTTATGAGATGTGAAACTGTGGGTATCTAGCTTGTCAATCTTTGTAATTTACCATGTGCAGGAGTCCCAATGTTTTTGCCCTTAGTCAGCCCACCAGTATCATGTCTTCAATTGTCGCAAGCCATAAAATAATTGAAAGTTATTTTCTCATTTCAAGGAGGTATTTACCATGAATTATTCAACAATACCCCACAAGCTAGTTTGTAAAAATCCAACAAATCAAGCTTTTCAATTAATATTTCGTATAGTGATCCACCCAATTCTATGGTCATGTTGTCAATATTTTGGTCAACAAAAGGAATATATAAAATACATAGGTGCCCATTTTGCATTTTTTTTCTTAATGAAGTGTCGATTTATCACACATCTTTAGTCCAATAATGATGGAAAGGATTCTGTGATGTAAAGTTGCTTTATTGTTGCAACATACTATCACAGGAGTTTTATGAGTTTTATGAAGTTCTTTTATGAGAATTTTAAGCCATATTTATTTTCTAATCACTTTGGCCAATGTTTTGAGTTTTGCTTTTGCATTACTTCTTGGCAACACATTTATGCTTTTTGCTTGTTCATGTTACAAGTTTCCTTTCCTTTATGTGCAATGCCTAGAAGTGATTGTTTGTCTATTATAGATCTATCCCAATCAACATTAATATAGGTTTCTATGATGATGATTTCTCTTTTCTTGAAGAAAGGTCCCATCATTCGGTTTCTTTTGTCGGTATTTGATAATCCTGTCAACAACATTTTCGTGTTCTGTATAAGGGGGCATGTATGACATGACATATCAAATTAACAACAAATGTTTTGTTGATTATATCATGATCCAAACAGATGAGTTTTCCTAGTAACCTTTAATATTGATTTTTATCAACTAGAAAATTGGTGCTAATAGCACTCATTTAATTTCAGGATCAGTTAGAGTGTCAATTTGTTTGCTTCTAGTCAAATCAATTTTCTTAAGAGATCTAGAACATACTTTATTGAAAGATGATAAGGCTAGATTTGTTCATAGTGTTTTTCATAGAAAACAACTAGGATATCCAAGTTCTTTGATTTTTGAACTCTTTTGCCTGTTTTTTTTTCTTGGTGCATACCTTCAAATCAGAATTTCATTTAAGAATGATTTCTTTAGCATACGCAATTAGTATGGTAAACTTATCATCTTTGTATTTATTGTATAAGATGTGATCATAGTGAGCTTGCTTGAACCCTTGTTGATTAACATCTTTTGTGAACGTATTGAACCCTACTTTAGTTGATTGTTTGAGCTCATAAATAATTTTTTTTCAATTTGTAGGCTAATCTTATTTTCTTAGTGTCTCTAATTCTAGAAGGAGATTCTATGTAGAATTCTTCATTTACGTAGTCATTCAAGATGCAATTTTAATATCTAGTTGGTTAAGTGGTAATTTAAGGTTGATTGTCATCAAAAGAATGCAGCATGGTCTTTAATTTTTCTGTAGAATCAATGTTTTCATAATAGTTGATCTTATAAGTTTGGGTAAATATTTTTGCACCAACTCATGCTTTATATCTTTCAAGGGATCTATTTGCTCTACATTTTATCGTGAAGATTCATTTGCATCCCATAGATAGCATTCTTAGACTTTTTTTTTGAACAACTTCTCATGCTTCTTTAGTCTCTAGGGTTTTCATCTCTTCTACAATGACCTCTCTCCATTTTGAATTTATAAGCGCCTTACTTATCAACTTCTTAATTTCAATCTCTATAAAGTTAGACGTAGTTTTTTTTGGGTAAATGATCATATTCTGCCACATTTTCTGGAAGATATTGAGTACTATAAGGAAAGGAATTTGAGAATTTATCCCGTTTAAATAGAATTCGTGACAAGCTTCAGCAAGTAGAATGATTTCATTTTTTTTAGATTCTTTCTTCAAGGGGTGAACACAATTGATTGTGATGTTATGGGGTCAATTGAAGGGTTTGGTAATCTTGGTACTGTTGGTTCTAGGAAGGTTGGTGGTTTCAATGGGTTGAGTATTTTGATGAAAATCTATTAAAATTTTCTTTCTTTTCATCTCCCACCGAAGGAAAATTTTCTAGAATGGTTTATTAAAGAAGAACACATCCTATGATACAATTGTTTTTCTTTTATCAATAAAATAATAGTTATACCCTGATTTGGATCATACCCAAGAAAACTACAGTTAAAGGCTTTGAGATCAAGTTTATTTCTATTAAGCTCATGACTGTGAACAAATGCCTTGCGCCCAAAGGCATTAAGTGGAAGATCATAAATTTTACTAGTATTAGTAAAGTATTTTGAAATCATATCGATTGGATTCTTCAATAAAGTACATTCGTAGGTAGTTGCTTTTAAATTTATGAGATAACAAGCAATGAGAATGGCATTACTTTAATAATGTTTTGAGTTATTAATGGTGTACATAATAGATCTAGTTACTTCTAAGCAATATTTATTCATTCATTTAATAATATCTTTTTGATAAGGAGTATTAGGGCAAAAAATTTGATGGATAGTATCTTCCTACTATAGGTAATTTCTAAGAATATGGTTAAAATCTTCTATACCTTTTTCAAAGTGAATGATTTGAATTTGAGTAGAGTATTTAGCTTTTAGCATATTATGGAAGTTTTGAAAATTTTGTTTTGTATCAGATTTATCTTTTGACAAGTATAGTCAACCCACAGGAGTGTGATAATTGATAAAAGCGATTAAACACCATTTTGAGTTAAGATTTGAGCTTTGGATTGACTTAGATGTCACTATGCACAAGTGAAAATGTTGGTAGCTTTATATGGCTTAGGTTCTCTTTGGTATTTAGCAAGTTGACATTTTTTAAATTGAAAGAATATTGTTATTATCAAATGTGGAAGGAATTAAGGTTCTATTTAAGGCAGCTACAACTGTTTGAAGAAATAGCTGTGAAGTTGTTGAAGAAGAAGCTGTTGTTTAAAAAGTTGCGGTGGTTATTATAAATTTTTTTTTTGAAAAGTCAAACCGCAACTTTATATCAGCCACTGCAGGTAGTCAGGTTTAGTGGGAAAACACAGTTTACAACTGTAGTTTTTGGATAATGCGGACAAAACATAGTTTTGTCTAATAAGAAAAACTGCGGTGAGGCATCGCGCCGCCGCCTCAAATGTACCTTAAGTTTCTAAGTTAAGAAAAGCTAGGCCGATCTAGCCCATGTTTCCATGACATAATTCGATCCCATTTTTTAAGAGTAAAAAGGTCTTAGTTTATAACAAGAGTGATTTTTTTATTTGAAATTTTTATAGAAGTAATACGGACTTTTGTCCTCACTAGAACTTGGACCATTGTCCTCACTGGCACTTGCAATTCTTTCCCCCTCTTTGATCCTGAAAGTCACTAGTTTTCTATAAGAATACGATTTTATAGTTGCGGTCTTTAGCTACTTGATAATTGTCAACAAGTTTCAAGAGAATTTTGGATAATGCAAAACAAAATCTATACAAAAATCAGAGTTAATTTTAATACTCCCTATTTCAATAATATGGGATAGAGATGCATCAACAATTTTGGCCTTGAGGTTCTTAGGTGCGGTGGTTGTGAGAGTTGAATTGGTGAGCTTTACATGTCCTATGATATCGATAATCTAAGATTCTTAGGGTCCGTTTGGGGCAGCTTGTGCGTTTCAGGATAAACTGCTTGTCCTGAAACGTGGCACGTGGGCCGGCCTTGGGGGTCGATCCGCGGCCTGCGTTTAGTGTAAAAACCCAAACGCAGTTTCAGATAAGCTAGTGAAACACGCGAACCCAACAGTATGACGGCGTTTTGAAAAGGCCGCCCGCACTTATAAGCTGCCCCAAACAGACCCTTAGTCTTTCTTAATGCTATTAAAAGCAAGTGTAAAATATTATTTTTTGTATTAGAAGGGATGAAATAAAATTTTTTCTGAGAGAGGAATTTATATAGATGTTGTAATTGCTTATTATTTATGAAAATATTGCCAAAGTTTTCAAATTTTCTAATACTTAGTCTCTCAATTTTAATAGGTATAAGTATTTCTGTAATGATTTTTAAGATTGTTATAGCTTGCTAGTTTGTCGTAAAATTTTAGCAATTTCTTTCTTGTGTAATTATTCTTTTAGTAGATATCTCACCAAAGATTGCCTCTCTTTTCATGCCTTAGGTAATATTTTTGATTTTGCTTCAATCATTAGATGAAAACGGTGTTTTCAGAGATGAGTGTATTTTTGGAATCTCCAACCGTTATTCTCCATCTGGTTTCTTACCTTCAAACTTTAATTAATGCTTCTTTAATTTTGGAAGTAAATGAATTCTTATGATTCTTACACGTATCTCATTGAGAACTTTAAGGGTGTCAAAAATTGGTTTGACATGCTAGCTGGACTCAAATCGACTAAAAAAATTCACGTTCGGGTTGACCGAAATAATTTTTGGGTCAAGTTCAGAATAGGAATCTTAACCCATTTATTTTTTCAGGTTTGGTTTAAACTGACCGACCAAATCGAAATTGACCCAAAACTGACCTATTAACCTGAAATTGACTCAAAATTGACCAAGTAAACCAAAATTGACTCAAGATTCACTCGAAATTGAACCAAATAGCTAGTGTGCCTTATGTTAAACAGGTTATACATGGGTTCTGGTTGACATTGAAGGCAGGTGGGATTCGGGATGGACTTACTAATTTGTTTAATATTTGGGCCAGTTTCGGGCCAAATAATTTTGGGTCGGGTCAATTTTGATTTAGGCCCGAACCTGAGTCATTGGCCCGATTTGAAACCCCTAGTGATTTTTATTGAGACCCACTAAGAAATCATAGGTTAATTTTTTTTTAATAAACTTGATGTGTATTTCTTGAACACTCCTTGCATCAATTTTTGGCTAGAATAATATCTAATTTTTTCCAATGTTTTTTAGAATGGTAAATTAATTATGACACTGTTTTTCCTTTGCTTGAGGTCACAACCTTGCTCTTATAATTCACACAATTGAGCAGAGTTTCCAAGTTTCAAGCAAGCTATTTTGATTTCTCTTATCTTATATGTGCGGTGTTGTAGAACAAGCACAAGGATCTGATATGTTCTTGCATGGCATTGATGAGCCAATATACCAATATATTATGAAGGCTTTGTTACCACCCCGTGATGGAAATGAAGAATAACCATTTAAGGTTGACATTTGGGCTCCGAAAATTTGCACCCCAGACTCTCGTTTCCATCACGGGGTGGTAACAATATACCAATATCTTGCATGGCATTGATGACCAATATATTATAAAGGCATTCCAGCCTAACCATTTATGGTTGTCCTAGTTATTTCAGAACAATATTTCCAACCAATATATTTTGCATCGACACTCTTTGCATCAATCCTTGGCTAGAATAACCCTACAAATCTCAAAAAAATTATTTGGACGTCACTTTGAGGGTTTTACTTTGTAGATTTTTGGAGATGCTAATTGGATGTTGATGCAAAATTTAAATTTGGGCTTTGAAATACAGACTTATTGGTCAACAAATGCCTCAACAAAGATGGTGCACACCTGGAGCGAGCCATCGTTTGTTGCAAATTGATTGACCCTACGGATCTCAAAACTTATTTGGATGTTATATTGAGGGTTTTATTTTGCAGTCTCCAGAGATGCTAAATTGATGTTAGTGCAAAGTATAAATTTGAGCTTTGGCATACAGATTTATATCACTGGCGATTGATCTTTGATTGTTGTTGCTTTATGGTTTAAATAATTTTTTAAAACTGACACCCGTTTTGGAAAAGGAAGCTAGCCCAAATGCTATTTGTTGGATTTGAAATTCTTCAGCTCAGCTATAAGAGCTTTGTGAGCTTAATTGTAGGCCATCTCTCTGATGCTTTATGCTTGATGGACATCATGAACGATTATCCAAAATTGCCTTTATTAATTTGTTAGGAGAATTGGGATCAAATTTTACCTTATTCTTGTAGCTTTATCGAGCTTGATGATGAAATTGATCTGATTTGTTTTTGTCGACTTATCAGAGAATAGTCATCTCTTCTTTCCTATGCTTCATGCTTTAATGGACTTTAAAAATTCACACCTCAAACTCTCATTGTATAAGCTTTATCTTTGTTAGTCTGGGTCAAATTTTCAAAAGGAAGATGAAACTAGATGAGACACTACTCAGAGATTTCACTCTCATTTTGTGAGAATTTTTTTGACCTGGGTTTTGAGGTTTCCCATAGGTTTAAGCCCCTATGATTAACGACCTCTTTCAATAATGGGAGAACACTTTCGATTAAAGTTAGTCATTAAACATTGAATATTCAGTTTATAATAGCAACAAACTTAAATTTTAAGTTATAAATTTTATCACTGTGAGCTTAAGAGCAGATGGGGTCTCGGCGTGGAGTTTGATGTGATTTTTGGGAGATAATGTTCATAGGAGAGGAAGCATCGAGAGTGAGAGTTTTGAGGAGATTGGGGGGGAGAGGATGAGCGGAGGAGGCTAGCGCCACAGACGTGGAGTGCTGGTGTATGCTTAGTTTGGTCCTGTGAAGGCTCGAGCGAAAAGGTAAAGAGGGGGAGTTCAATCTTTGCAAAAATAGTGAATATTGGAGATCAGAGGCATTTCTCATGTACGGTTTTGAATCGGGATCTGGACATGGGTAAGATTACACAGTAGAAGCCGGATTATGTAAAGTTTTTGGGGTTTTAATTTATTTTATTTTTATTTTTTTAATTTCAACAGTCAACATCACAGATGCTACCAGTTTTTATTATCAAATAATCTCATTTTCTCAAATCACCATTTAAGCTGAGCAATCCTATAAGAAGAAATCCTTCCCATTTAGATTGTAGGAAGAGAGGCAGTGAGTGCTCCATGGAGACTGCCGAAATGTGGTATGACTATGTACGGTGGAGGGAGAACACATCTTCTCTCTTTTTCCACGCTTTGTTAAGTCCATCTTATAGTTTTCAGGCATTGCTTAGAACATACCTTTGATACAATGCAAGGAAAAAAGAAAATAAAAAGAGAAGGAAATGTGAATGTTCTATGTTTCATTCGGCCAGAACATGGCTTTATATATAGGGTTTTACAGTGGGTAAAATCAGAAGGTGATAAGCCATAGATGAAAAGAAATAATTTTGTGAGAAGTGCACTTAAAAATGCTAGTAATGGATTCTATAAGTTATATGAAACAATAATGTAGATGCCTAGCCAAAGGATGCCATCCAGAGGTGGAGAAGCAACCATATCAGTGATCTAAGGGAGCCCCCATGGCTCCTGCGGTTAATTGTTGCAAGTATTTCTTAATATTTCATGAAAGTAAATACTATGAATTATTCAACTCATGTTAATTATCTACTCTTGTCGTCATATTTTTAAGAACATTAAATACCAAAAAAAAAAAAAAAAAACATAGTAGTGTCATTTCACTTGCTTCTATATTAACATTTCATTTCACCTTTTTTATTCAGGTTGTCTCAAACCTTTCTGCAAACACTGGTCCAATTTTCTATGTGGAATCTTGGGGACATTTCCCAAAGGAAAGGGAACGCCTCTACAAATTGATAAGCGATAGCGAGGTTTGCATTTCATTTCATTTTGCTGGTATTGTGTGCGTAGAGCTTACATTATTTTTCACATTTCTGTATTGCAACTTTTACAACAACACAGGCTTCGTGCTTGAAATTGTGGATTCATTTTTCTCTTGTGTAAGAAGTAACTTCTAAAATCTAATGATTGGTTATGATCTTGGTTCTTAAAAGTTTCTCTTATTGGACGCCATGTACTTTCAATGATTTAATTAAATTAACTGAATAACTTGGTGTAATTCACAACACTAATACATTGTGTATCTGATGTAGAGAAGTGGAGTGTTCTTCATCAGTGGCGATGTTCATTTTGCGGAGATTACACGCTATGACTGTGGTTGCGAATATCCATTGTATGACATCACCTCGAGTGGTCTAACTCAAGCTGTTGAGAGGACTGTGCCTCCACCCTTGGATTATCTTTTGAGGTTAGCAGCCTGGTTGACGCCAACAACTATGAGAGTATTTTCTTCAACATGCCAATATAAAAGTTGCACGTATGGTATGCTGATTTTTTATCATGACATGGTTTCTCTTAATGTATTATATGATTTTTCTGTGCATTTTTTGACATATTTGGAAGAAAATCCATCTTAGACATGTATCCTTCTACTCATGGTTGAAAGATGGAACAGATATCACGGAAGTGCTTAAGCTTTTAGATGCATATTTATTGAAAAAAGAATTACCATTATAATGTCAGTCAGTATGCATCCTTTGAGCCTTATTTTCTTTGTTAGTATAAAAAATGGAATGTAATTGCAGAAAACATTTTAGGGTTTTGTCTCAGTAATTTTTATTTTTGGTTCAATGATTTGCATTTTGTTTATAAAAAAATAAAAAAAAGAAAAAACCTTTCTACTTATTTCTACAACTACCAAACTTTTGTGATATTTTATTGGACATAGTATTATGGAAGTATGTATTAGGCGATTAAGTTTTTAGATTTATATTGTGTCTTGATAGGTTATGGGAATCCTAAGAAGTTATGAATACTCCTCATGTGGAGTATGAGGGATCTAAGCAAAAATATTAGTCAAAAAGCTTAGTCTCAGTCCCATAATTACATGATTGCTTAACTCCCCTCCTCATCAGAGTTCTTGGCACCTTCAAATTGCTTAGTTAATCTAATTGATATATAGTATTTTTACTATTTTTTGCATTTCGATTATATTATTGAATCTTGTCACCGTCTTGGTGTTATTTCCATCTACATTAATAAGTCTCTCCGGTTGTTCAAGCATCATGTTGGATCCCAAAATTTGCTGAAGTTGTTCACATTGATGTCCCTTCAGTTCCCACCTGCTTACGGCTTAGCTCTAGAGTTTTCAACATTTTTTCCTTCTTTCTTCTCTTTTTTTTTCAATTCTTTTTATTTTTTTTTCTGTTGTCTGTGTTTTTGATTGACCTTGAGAGCATTGTTATTGTGAAAGGGTGGTTAATGATACAAATAAATGTGAAAGGGTATTTGATGAGTTATATGAGTTGTTGGTTATTAGGTTTATGAGGTTGTTTAATAGTTTATAATGGGTCTTGTACCACTATAAATACCCTTCCTTAGGGAAATCAGCGTATAATGGGTCTTGTACTACTATAATTACCCTTCCTTGGGGGAAATTAGCATATATAGACATGATAGAAGCTAGCTTTGTTGTCAACTCCGTAAATTATCATGAGTTGTAGGCACTCTCTATTTGCCAATCAGTAACTGGAATTGTACGCACCCTTGAATTGTTCAGGGGCATTTTGGGATCATCTTTATTTTATTTTTTAATTTTGTTTTATATATGTTTTTACTTGAGATAAAACATGTTTGTTTTTTTATAAATATTTAGTTGTTTTTAAAATACTCAAAATAACTTTTTTTAAAAATACAAATTAGTTTGTTTTAAAAAATAAAACATAAAAACATGCAAAATATGCACTAAACAGACATATTTTTAAAATAACAGCAAAAAAAAAAAAACAAAAAACAAAAAACCAAAAAACAAAAAACAAAAAAGACAAAAAAGCAAAGGTTATCTCAAACAAGCCCTTATTTATTCTTTTAAGTGCTGATTTACTTTTTTTTTTTGTTTATATCAAATATCTTGGAACCTCTAATGCAAAAGAGATTTGCCATCGAGTATTTATGTTCAAAGTGGAAAACTCGAGTAAATAAGATTTCCCAGCAAATAAAACTGTCCACTGTTTCCCCATCTTGGGAATGTACTTTTTACAGAATCTAATGGAATTAAATATTCTAGGATGCTTAGAGCTGAAATTCTTGTTGATTTTCATCAGCCAAGCAAAACTTTGGGGCAATTGAAATTGATTGGAATACAGTTCCTCATATTATCAAGTTTGAAGTAAGGAGTGTCAGTGGCGATTCTGTCAACATGGTGAAATTTCCTCTTACCGAGTTGCAACCAAAAAAATCAAACAGAAGCCACGCTAAAGAAAAATTTAGTGAACATTGCATTTTGGAAGTTGAGCTGCCATGGTTTCTTAGGCATCAGCTAGCTTTTGCATTTTTTGGAACCTTAGCTGGTACGTGCATCTTGAACCTTTCATTTCAAGTTTTCTCTCAAAAGCTGTGATGATATGAGGTTTCTATTATTGATAGAAATCTTCAAAACATTCATATTTGAATATCAGTGTTGCTTAATTAAACTCTTCCCTTTTGCAGGCTATTTTCTGGCTTTTATTTTATTTGTTTGGATCATTGCGTCAGCTGGCAAAACATTTGTACAAAAGCTCAAGATTGACTGAAAGTTTAGCGGATAAAGGTATCAGTTTTCCTGGCGAGGAAGTCAGAAGCAGCAGCTTTAGCAGTTTAAAACAGACCAGCCTTATACAAATCCTAGTACTTAATGAATGAAGAGTATGTTGCTCCATTTGCCCAACAGATAGCTATAGCTGGGTTAAGTAAAATCTGTCTTAATTTTTCTGCGTATTTTGGTTGCATCAACCACCAATTTTTTAAGTTGTAGTTTAGCACTATTGGTAGGAGGAAAGATAACACGTGTTCTCATTTTATTGTGTTTGAAATTCAGCTATATTGTAAATTGGACAGTAAAAAATCGAGATCATGTAATGTGATTAAATTCACCATAAATTTAGAACATTGAATCTTTGTCGTCTTTTTTTTTTGGAGTTAATACTTGGGCTGGCTTTGGTTAGTATGATAAGTTTGCTTCTTTGGTAATTCTGAAGTTGTGGAGTTGAATTACGTAAATTTTTTTTCTTACTTCTTGATATACAGAGAAGCACGTGGTGATTTTGATGTCACGGATTATTCTTTTATTGCAGGTAGGATTTGTTTATATGTTTTTTTATGTAAACCATTCTCTATTTTGCAAGGCCAGAGCTTTTCCACTGACTGTATGCTACACATGAAACTATGCTATTATTCAAGTGGCAATATTTTGTTGTATATTCTTCTTTTTAATTTTTTTTCTAAACTTTCACTTTGTAACTGCTACTTACTGATCAATTGTGGACAGGTTTCAAAGTTGTTTACACTAGTGCAGATCCCCTAGGAACTGGCTAGTGACTGTAAGGGATTTAAGCCTTAGAGCATTAGAGGAAAAGACAACAGAAAATGTAAATAGCCAGAGTGAGACTCAGGGAAAGCTAAGCTTTATTCGTTTCATTATATCAAACAGTAGAGTTTGTATTGCCTTTTATAGGGAATGGTAACAGATGTATTACAGTAGGACAAAGTTTGTTTAATGCGAGTGGACATGATTATGTGAGGTTTTAGCTGAGCAGTAATGATGGAATAAGTACATGTGTTATTGTATTTGTTAATGGCTGTGAGGCTTCATTATCCTTGCTGATTAGTGCTATTCTCACCTTCCATCAAATTGTGGGTTACCTTGGAATCATCAAATTGCTTCGTAAGAGAATGAAGATATTGAGAGACTGTTTTGGTGAAGGTATCAGCTAGTTGGTCTTGAGGTGCAACATGATGGACTATGATATGCTTTGATTTGATGCAGTCCCGAATAAAGTGAGTCCTTTACAATGTGCTTTATTCTCACATGCCTTTGGATTGTTCTCTATATTTAGGCTTGAAATAGTGGCGGGCAGAGGTGATCAAGGTTGAATTCCTGTAGTATATCATAGCTATATTGTTAGGTATGACTCATATGCCAGAATTTGGAGTCTCTTGGAGTGAAGATGTGTGTCTCTTAGAGATAAGTGGGTTGGGGGAGTGAGGGCGTGTTAATAATTTTATCTGTGGGTTTTATCTATATGTATGATGTGTAACCCTATCGGTCTGAACTTGACTCTTTTGAAATAGTGAATTCGCCGCTCTGCTCCCGAGGATGTAGGTATTTTTGCCGATTCTCGTTAAATCTCTGTGTGTTCTTTTGGATTTGTGTCGATTTATGTTTTTCTTCGCCCTAAGTTTCTCAACAATTAGTATCGCTCGGGCAAAGAAGAAAATTTTCAGCTGCGCGGCTGTACGAAGTACGAAGAACGATTCGAGGATTTATGTTCGGCTAGGATTCGAGCACAGGAAGAGTCGTGAATCGCGGCATCTGCAGAGGGTTTTGCGACAGGAAGATCGTTCAGTGCGATCAGGAGTTCGCTGAGGAGCAGTTGGCGAATTTTGGGAGGGCTTCTTCCGCCCTCGAGTTCGAGCAGGCTTCGCATGCGACACCAGGCTTCGCGCGCGGACAAAAGGAGTTGCGAAGTTCTTCGGTCGCGCGATGCAGAGAGGCTTCTAACGAAGGATTCACGCGACACCAGAATCACGCCAGATTCGCGATAGTGTTCGCAGGTTAGCGAGGGTCTTCGTTCGCGACAGACAAGGGCTCCGGATTCCCGCGCGATCGTTCTTCTTCTGGAGAAAGATTCACGACGCGTGGAGTTCGCGAACCGTCACAACAGTTCACGAATCGTGGCGATTGACTGCTTGGGGGAAGGAACTCCCGCGGCTAGAGGGGTTTGCGAATTACGGGAAGGAGTTCCTTTGGGAGTTCGACAAATTTGGCAGTTTGCGGCATCCGGACGAAGGAGTTCCCAGATTTTGCGGATTGTTCGCAAGGAAGTCGGGCTCGCAGGAACGAATAGGTGCAAGCAGTTCGGATAAAGGGTTGCGGCAGTTTAGCGAGGTCTGCTTCGGGAGTTGGCGGTAGAGGCAGCATCGCGAGTTCATACGACAGGCAGAGGCGAGAGGGCTTCTTCTGCGATAGGAAGTTCGCGTGTTCGTAAGTTTTGCAGAGGAGAAGAGTTTGGTGGCGAACAGAGGAGTTTGGCCATGGGAGTTCGCAAATTTGTCGCAGGAGTTGCGACGGGTGGAGTTCGCGACAGGTGGAGTTCGGTAGGGTGCAGGTGAAGCGAGCAGGTTTGAATGTTCGCGAACAGTAGTTTTTGCAGAGGTATTTTGCGAACAGGCAAGAGGTGTTTTGCTAACAGGAGAAGGATTTCGGCTCGCGGGACAATAGTTTTGCCGAGGTGTTGATCCGAACAGGAAAAGTGGTTCATGTGAAAAATTTGATTTACAAATCACAACAGAATTGCTGGAAAATTGCTGCAATTGATAGAGAAAATTTCAGTTTTCTTTGAATTTATTTACGGTGTGTTTTTGTTTCTACACAAGGCAGGAAAAATTTGCTGCGGGATTAATTTCAAATAGCAATGTCTGTTGCAAAATTCGAGATAGTGAAGTTCGATGGAACCGAGAACTTCGAATTGTGATAAATAAAAGTGAAAGTTTTGTTGGCAGATGAAGATATGGAAGATGAAAATAATATGAAAGATGAAGATTGTGAAGTATTGCAACTACGAGCGGAAGGTACCATACGTTTATGTCTGGCAGATGAGATTATGCATCATGTTATGAATCTGAATTCTCTAGGAGAAGTATGAAAGAAATTGGAATATCAGTTTATGTCCAAATCTCTAATAGATAAACTGTATCTGAAGCAAAAACTGTATGGGTTGAAGATGCAGGCAGACACTAATATGGCGCAGCATTTGAATATCTTTAATTAAATAATCACAGATCTGGTACGACTTGATGTGAGTATTGAGGATGAAGATCGAACAATGATTCTGTTGTGTTTTTTGCCTTCTTCTTATGAACATCTGGTGACTAGTCTGATATTTGGGAAAGAAACAATCAAAATTATTGAGATTACTGCAGCATTGTTGGCTTATAACCAACGAAAACAGAATGCAAGGGAAAACTCTCATGGTGACAGTTTATGTGTTAAGGGTAAGCAAGATCGTGGAAGGAAGGAGAAGAATGAGAGTTCTAGAATGCGAAATTTCTGGTCAAAGCCTAAAGACAGAAAAACAATTCATTGCTACAAGTGCAAGGAGCCGGGAGATATGAAGAGAAATTGTCCAAAGCTTAAGAAGCAATTTGATGAGAAACATGATGTATCTTCCAAGTCTGTGAATATGGTGCAGAGTGACAATTCAGATTGTAGTGATGGTGACGTACATTCAGTTAAAACTTAGTTGAAGGATGTATGGATTCTTGATTCAGGATGCTCTTATCACATAACACCTAACTGGGAATTGTTTACTTTATACAAGTTATCTGATTCTTGTTCAATCTATTTAGGTGATGATAGATGTTACAATATCATTAGTATTAACAAAGTTAGAATTAGGATGTATGATGAGACAATCAGAACATTATGTGATGTAAGATATATTTCAGATTTGAAGAATAATTTAATTTCCTTGGGCACTTCACACAGAAATAATTTTATTCCTAAGGCAGATGAGGATAGAGAAACCATCATAATTGTTAAAGGTGCATTAACTGTGATGAAAGGAAAGATCACTGCAGGTAATATCTATAAACTGTTGGGGAGTACAGTTGTAGGTGGAGTTCACTCTGTTGAATCATATGATGAAAATGCAACAGATGTGTTGACCAAATCATATACTATGAACAAGTTCTTGCATTGCTTGAACTTGTTGAATGTTTGCAATTATAAGACGACATGGTTGCTCAACCCACTTTGGTATAAGAAACTCCATGATGTATTTCTCCTAAGGGGCTGAATATTCGCCAAGGTGGAGATTTGTTTGGTATGACTCATATACCAGAATTTAGAGTCTCTTGGAGTGAAAAGATGTGTCTTGGAGTGAAGAGGTGTGTCTCTTAGAGATAAGTGGGTTGGGGGAGCGAGGGCGTGTTAGTAATTTTATCTGTGGGTTTTATCTATATATATGATGTGTAATCCTATGGGTATGAGCTGGACTCCTCCGAAATAGTGAATTTGCAGCTCTGCTCCCGAGGACGTAGGCATTTTTGCCGAACCTCGTTAAATCTCTGCGTGTTCTTCTGGACGTGTTCTTCTGGATTTGTGTCGACGATTTCTATTTTTCTTCGCCCTAAATTTCTCAACATATGTGATAACCGTGGCGGCAATTGCAAGCCTTTCATATTCTCTTTGGTGGAGAATATGGTCATTTTGGATTGCTTCTTAAGACACCTTAAAATTAATGGGTGACCTAGGAATGTAGTAATCAGCTGGGCGACGTAGGAATGTAGTAATCAGCTGTAGTGTTTCTATTAGTGAAATCTTTGGCTTGTATTCTTAGATTTCTGCCCCTTTTATATATTGAAGCAATTTTTTTGATCTAAAAGGAAAAAAATTGTCCTTGAGGCATATATTAGCATAAACAATCTATTGTTAAAGGATAAATCCTGTCATGTTATGCTGATGTACTGCAAAGAGTTAGCTAGGTTGCAATATAGGGTTGGATTGGCAAATTCTGAACGGAGACCATTTGGGAGTGAGGGTTTGGTTGTGGTGGGGCTCTAAATTTTGTTGCAGTCTACCATGCTAGCTCGGTTAAACGTATCCATATCATATTTCAATTGATTGAGTTGAATGACATGTAGTTGAGGTTATTTGAATTCTTAAAAATTAAAAGTTGGCAACCAAATTGCTCATATTGGATTTTTACTAAGGTTACCGAGGAGAGTGAAGTTAGCGTTAAGATTGTTACCTGTTGTATGTCAACATAGATGACATCCTCTTGTTCTTGTCCACACTCTCCACAAAGCTTCTGAACTACTCACTCTATCCTAAACACCATTGGTAGTTATTGTCTTTGCCATAGCAACAACCACAAGCCCACCATTACTTCTT